GCTAGCGTGTACATGGCACCTTAACAATAGCGTGCTAGCAGCCTTATGGCAGGCTATGAGTTAAACACACAAACGCACAAGACATACACGCCCACATAATATGCGTTATATACATAAGCGTGGTGGACATGAATAATGCAACGAAGAAAACCATGGAAATAAAAATGGAAATTCACGGGAGTATATGATGAGTGATTGATGAGAGAAACAAGATTGGGACAGGTTGCCATAACGATATTAGACATTATTTAACATAAAGATATTAAACATCAATCACTTATGCCTACTCTATTTCGTCCACATATGACACATGCACAGTCTGGTATCAAATCCTGGAGGAGATAAATTTGAGCCGGTATAATATCTCACGCATCTTAACCCTAATAAGGCCGGGGGGGGGGCCATTATGGCCCCCCCCCCCCTCCACATTTTTTCCGATTGCTCGGGAATGCATATGGATGGCGCCCCGCCGCTCGCTGACTTTTTTCTTTCGAGTCTTGCGCAACTTTTAAAATATTTTTTTTGAAAATCGGACCTACGGTTACAAGGTCACGTGACCTTTTGTCTTCGCATGTCAGCCTGAAAATCGCTCATTTTCGTGATTTGTGTACAAAACATATGGCAAAGTCATTTTTCCTAAAAACAGATCAAACATGGGTTATTGGGTCTTGTTTAAAGTTTAGGTGGTTGTTTTGGGAGTCAAAATAGTTGAATTGTAGTAAAAGATGAAATAAAACAACAAAAACAATGAAATACATAAGTTAAAAAAACAATGAAATACATAAGAAATTATCAAAACAAGGGATAACATAAGAAATAAGCTGGCTCTTCCAATTTTGTTTTCGTATTATTATTCAGAATGGTCTAATGAATATATCTAGTGAAAAAGAATGCTTAAATATGAATAATATATGATTTATTGGTAAAAATGTGATTTTTATGACTTTATTTGCATAAATTACCATAAATATGCAAATGAGTGAATTTTTCAAAAAATTGAAATTATCATATTATTCTTTACACTTCACTTGACATGCGTGCAAATTTTCGCGGCGAACGGCCGCTTCGCGGCCGAGATCTTGAGGGGGGGCCATAATGGCCCCCCCCCGGCCCTACTAAGACTTCAAATAGCCCGGCCTTATTAGGGTTAAAGGTAATACAAAGTTTTGGGAAATTTCGAAAATTGGGTGGATAGTGATTCTTAACAATTTTGATATATTTGGATGCCCATGTGGATGTAACAAGGGCACTAAAAAATTTAGCCCATAAAACACTTCTGCTCTTGAGAAAAAAATTGAATATAAAAATTTACCGGTGCTCCCAATAAATTTTGATAAATTTCAAAGAGCGCCTACGACCGTACAATGGTAGCTGCGACCATGAAAATCACAGAATATGTAGTTCTGATATATAATCGGAAATAGCAAATCGGTCGATTTTAGTCAAGAAACATTGTTTTATAGCTTAATTAATATCTTGACCTTGAGAGGGAGCTATACAGCATAAAGAGTTTATTATTGACAATTTCATAACTTTAGACTCGATTTCAACCGCGACAAAGATCACTGAATATTGTAGGCTCACATATGTTTCAAATATGTCCATTTGAACCAAATTCATGACCCCATACCAAGACTTTGTATTACCTTTAACAAAGGAAATTGTTATGCGTTTGGGATTGAGAGAAAGCAAAGGGCTGTACAAAAAAAATTGTAATTAATAATGCGAATTCCGAATATTCTTCTCTTCAAATTTAGGTTAACTTTATTAAAAGTATTTGCCTTCAGCATGGAACTGTAACTTATTGACAACGTGGTGAACGTAGTCGCCTGCATTGAATGTAACTTTAGCTTAATTTATATAGAATGTACAGAAAGAATACTCTGGAAGTTAAAGATAAACTTGAGTTCTGGTAAAAAAAGAAAATGAATTCTCACAGAATCTAACGAAACTTACGCTGAATGTTCAAGATTACAAATAAATGTCATGTGCCAAACAATTTTGTAAGAAAATGTATACTGGCTGAGTTATGAGCATAGAAAGATAAGGAAATCAGGGTAGTACTAGCCCCGACACCATGTGTGTTGTCCCATATACATCTTTCTGTGTAAGTGATTGTTACTTTACCAAGACTCTGCCAAATTTATGATGATTTTGATGACTCCAGAACCTTGCATTACACACCATTACTTACATGCTATATGAATAACTTTTCTGATCCATTCCACACCTTTTCTTTCACAATGCAATCGCATTACCAGAACTCAAGTTTATCTTTAAGAACAATAAATAATCGTTAGTATTTATTATAATTCACTTTATAACGTCATACACAATATGATAGAGGAGTAACTCTTTAACAAAAAATGTTTCTTGACCCGTACTTCATGAAGTCAAAAAGCGTCTCACTGTGTATGCTGTCCTTATTCCAATACGAAATAATGAGATGTCGAAAATACTCTACTTAGATATTTTTTTTATTCCTTGCACATTTTAGGTGTATTATGCAATCCTTGCATTTCACGATTTATGATCGTTCACTCTTTTCTCCTTTCTACATGCAGCTCGCAAAGGTTAGACGAAAGCTCTTTGAATGAAATTGAGACCAATGGAACGTTAGAAAAGAACAGTTTTTTTTCTTCTTAAAATCTTCTTAAACTGGTCATCTTTACGTCACGCATCCACTATTTTCAGTCAACATGTTGATTTTTTCTCATGGCAAGGTTCCTCCTTCTGTAATTGCATTTATTTCAGAATATGCTATTAAATATTCAATATGAACATGAAATTAACAGGTCAGCAGAGACCCTTATAAACTGACCATGAAATGACCTAATTTTAAAGATATCTAGGTTAATGCATTATTCGACCATGTAATATCAAAAGGGCATTGGAATGTATTTTTCGTAATTGATTGCGACACTGCAACTGTCTACTATATCTTGTTTGGGGTGGAGAAATGTAATATCACTTTTGTAATTTGTACTTTCCTTTATTTTCCCCTCCAGTATGACGTACAGGGATAAAATTTACGTATGTATATGAATACCGAGAAAATGAATCTCTGTCATATAAACCATAGATATAAATTACGGAGAATCATGAAGATAATATTAAAATGGAATTATAATTTATTCTTAATATTTGATTGCAACACTAATTTGAGTAATTTGATGAAAATTAATTACATGGGACAAAATAATAGAAAGGTTATTTAAGAAAGTCATATAACAGGTTTACTTATAATCATTATCACAGTAATCATTTGCTCATAAATATATATTTCAGTACTTTCATTTTCTCGTTTATCAGATTTATTCAGAATATATCTCATTTCAATTTAGAGCTGAATTTTCCATTCGTATAGTCGTACATATTTTGTCAATTTATTAAATGGATAGTTGAGTTCTGTTTTCAGACTGCAAATGCCTTCAAAGTGCATGGTTATTGCTCTTATTGTTATCTATGACATTTATAGTGCCCTTTAAGAACCTAAAATTGCTATGAAGGTAATTTTAGACCCCTAAATGTTTAAAATTTAGCCAATACGATCATACCAATTCAGCTCCACTTTAAAAAAAAAAACACGGTGACCGTTAATTAATTATTTAATTAAAAATAACAATACATGATCCGGCTAATAAGCAATACGAAAATGCCAACAAAAAAGCCAACATCGGCATTAGCTGAAATACGACGTAAAAGGCGTTATTTCGTTTTTTTCAACGGTTTTTTTTTTAATTTAAAAAAAATGTGATATTTGTGGTGGTACACAAGTATTAAAAATCGTTATATTTCAGCCGTCTCTAAACCGATTTTGATCAAACAAAGATGATTTTGTCATTTAGATATTATGTTCTTTCAAATTTGACACTCAGTTTTTCATAATCTTACAACAAAATTATTTTGTGTAGCGCTCTCTGCAACAGAACTCAACTATCCCTTTAATATGCATAATGACAGCTAAATTATGTAATTAAAGAAAAAGAAACAAGTCATTACCAAACGGAAAAAAATAATACAATGCACGATTGTTATTTCGTCATCATCTAAATGTATCCTTGATTGGTAACCTATTTCTGTTACCAATTTTATTTAATTTACATTTGAGCGAAACAAATATCCATGTAAAAAAGAATATTGGAATAATAAATACATTGAATTGAAATGAATTGAATTGAATATTATGACACTAATAGATTGTTTTATATCAATTTGCAGTATAGTATACGAGTGAAAAAGCACACAAAATGATGTCATTACAAAACACACAAGAACATGAAATCAGATCGGACGTTGCGAAGTAAAATTTGATTTAATGGCCTGGCGAGATGGTTTTCTTTAATATATGGCTTATTTTAAATACAGATATACTACAGCATCACCGTCACTATTCACATTGAGTTAAACACACGAAATAACAGAAGGTGAGAACGAAAGAAAAAACATAAATGGAAACTATTAAGCTCCTGCCTAAAATCCTATTATCCTGTTGTATTAGTGTATTATGTTATGTAAACGTATATTTCCAATAAAGAATGAATATATTAGGAGGTGCTAAAGTTGGGCGTAAGAATATAAAACATATTATGTTATCAAGTGCTGAAGTTAGACGTAAGAACATCGCGTCAGTCTGCTCATTTTCCAATATCAGATACCATGACAATAAAGAATAATTACAATTTTCCCTTGTATTTCTTTCCATATCGGTATGTATGGTATTGTTCTTTTGTACGAGATCTCACACTGCGGACATTCCCTATGAAATTTAGCCAATATTTTCCTGTTTAAAAAAAATGCTGATCATAATCTTTATCCACCAGCCCATTATTTGCTACTGAATTGTGAGTTCTGTTACTGAAACAATCAGCTATATAGCAATAATGGGAGAGAAAGTAGAAACATTTACAAGTTGCACATGACTTTTGTATAGGCCAACAGATCACTATTTGGAAAGTTCTATACTACGTATATACAGATTTTGTCTTCTTCTACACAATTCACATGCCTCCAGAAACTGTTGCAGCAGTCACCGAGTTATCCTTGAATTTATTAACACCGCATCGTTTAACCCCGAACAATTTCCTCAAACCCCTCTGAAACTTGTGGTACTTGAAAGTATAAATGAACGGATTTACACACATGTTCATAAAAGCGAGGTAAACAGTAAAGTAGAACAAGTGTCCATCAAAATTGAGCTCTCCTCCTAAATTGAAATAGAGATAGATAAGCGTATTGGGCGTCAAACAGATAGCGTAGGTAATGCTGACCACTAGAAGGGTTTTGATGACATTCTTTCGGGCTTTTATGCGGTAGTTTGTTTGCTGTGTTGGTTGATCTGGGTTGCCCGAGCGGTTAGGGTCCGGGGGACAAGTCGGGATATCCTCCACCCGTTGCCGAAGTGCCTTTGCGATGCTGATATAAACAAAGGCCATGATAGCTAGCGGAATGATGAACTGGATCGTACAGGAGATAACACCTAGGAAAGCTTGTACGAAAAAGCTATCATACTGAATGATGCATTGACCGTCCGAGTACCTATTCACAGCCGCCCAGTAGGTCTCGTATCCGAACCCCAACAGCCAGGGTATGCAGACCATAGCCGAAGCGCGGCTGTAACTGAACATCCTGCGGTAGCTAATGGGGTGCACAACCGCGAAGTACCGCTCTACGGTAACCATGACGAGGTTAAACGTCGAGGTGATCAACGTCCCCCAGAAGACGTATCCCGAGTTCCATACCGAACAGACGAACACCGCGGCCCATTCCTGCGACGGAAGAGATGGACGCGGTGCCACGTACGATGCCAAGAGGAGGACTGAAGTCACCATGTCGATCACGGACTGGTTCACGATGAAAAGGTTGGTGACGGTACGAAGCTCACGTGTCCCAATCATGACTACGAGGACCAGACCATTCCCGATGATCCCTACGGTCCCTAGGAAGCCGTAGATCGTCCTCAGGACCACCTCGGATACTCCTGTATCAACTTCATCAGGAACGTCTCCTGAAGTGTTCTGCATTTTGAGCCTCGGTGTACCAGCGACAAATCCAACAAATTCACTTTCCTAATACTGCAGTGACAATGTTGTATGGCAGATACCTGCTTGTTTATTCGGTGATATTCAGTTTAATTTAGAAGCAAAAAATGCAACAGCATCAACAAAATGTGTTTCCCTCCAGAATTGTTTACGGGGATGATACTACATCGGCTTATTTTCTTTTTGTGAATTAATCGAGATGACAGTATCGGTTCTAGCGTCGACAGCTGAATATAATGCTATGTAAATGGTGAATAACAAGACGAGAGCTATCGTCGTTATTGCTTTGAATGGATACAGCAGCGACTAAAAGGCTTCATCCGCTATGTGTCATGACAGATCACTTTTAACTCGGAACGTAAAGAGTGCAATTAAACAAAATCAAATATGCGATACATTTCTGAGTTAGTATCATTGATGGCTTAACCACTATCACGGTCGATAAGCGGCACGCTATCAAGCACGCTTTCAAATTATCCAATCGTGTAAGATGTCATGAACTCGAGATATTACTAAGGAAGATAGCCGTTAATAACAGTTCAAGGTTTTTACAGTAACAACGAAAGGTAAATGACGGATAAGGTAGGATTGTTTTTCAAAACCTTTCTTTCTAAATTGACGCCAGTTTTAGGCTGGAGATAATGTAGTATCTAGTATTAAGCACCAAAGGCTCAAAACTTTATTTCAATAGGTCAAGCATTCTTTGCTAATCACCAATAACCGCTTAAACACAGTTTTAGTTTATGTATTTCATGATAAAAATAGACGTCGGTACAAATGGATCGTAATTATACAGAGATATATCACAATATATCATACATGGCCCAGGACAATGGATTTGCCAAAGAAGGACATAATTTATAACCATTTAATATGTAGAAATACGATACATAGTCCAATAAGATAATAAATATGCGATGATATTAATTGAATGAAGATAAATCAAATATAAGTGTTCTTTTTATCATATGAGGTGATGTGGTGAGAATTATACATGTAGTATACTGATGACCGAAGGCTTTGGACTAGAGTCAGAGAGAGAGAGAGAGAGGGGGAGAATTGGGAAGAAATTAGAAATAAAATGATAACAAGGAGAGAGAGAGAGAGAGAGAGAGAGATGTTTAAACTGTGGACATGCATATAAAGAACCTTGAGTACACCGGTCAAATAAATTACGTTTCTTAAAGGAGGTATCTCACTGATCGGCGAATGCTTACGAACGATGCGAATTTGGATTCGGAATTTTTTCTGACGAATGTTGGCGAAAATCAGCGACCTGTAGCGATGTTTAGCGACAATTAGCAACTTTTGAGAGAATGTTTGCGAAAGTTTTTGCGAAATTCAGCTGGTGACTATTAGCGACTGTAAGCAAATGTTAGCGTCAGTTTTTTTTTAACGTAGATTAGCAACTATTTGCCAATCCTTTGCCACTATTTGTGAATGTTTGGGACCTTTTGGTAACTTCTGGTACCCAATGGGTCAATTTTGTATAGGAACCATATGGTAACGTGGTCGCTAGCAATGGCGAATCAAAAAAAAAAATTAGCGACACCGTCTTACAACCGTTTGCGACGAGAAAACTGTGTGCGACAATGAAAATTGTTTGCGTACTTTTTTGCAACCTTTTTCGAACCTTCGCAACGTTCGCAAGCTTTCGCCGCTCAGTGAGATACCCCCTTTAGAAACGTATAATGATGCTACACAATGCACGACATCTCTCGAAATGTCATAATGGATTGCGTGACTCGAATCTCCTTTTAGTAATTATCGCTTTAATAATGCACTGAGTTAGAAAGGGGATATTGCCATCTTTAAGTGCTTGGAAGGGCGAATAAAAATGACTTTGACAATACTATATTTATACAATGGGAAGGACAAACTGTAAATATGGTGAATCTTTTGTGTATACACAAAGACTTAGTGAGCTGAAAATGAGTTCAATGTCGGCTTCATGGGCTTAAAAGCTCATAGCAATGACAATGACAAATTTTAAATCACGGTTTTTTTTTACAAAATCCTTAGCTGAAAATTTAGAAAAAAGTTTGACAAACATAATCAAATAGTAGGAAGATATTGGCTAAACAAAAGTGCATCGCAGGTAAGAACAGGTCTAGGATTCTGTAAAATGAGGGGGGGGGGCACATAACTTTGCGAAAACTATACGGCAAGAAAGAACTTCTAAAGAAAGAACACAAACAAAATATAAATGGAAAAGTTATAAAGTGCTTTTCAGTTCTACTAAAATGTGTAACACTAGTGTTACACATTTTTGTTTCTCTACACGGTCACACGATTGCCACTGACAGGCGCAATTGTCCTTAAAATATAGACATCCCTTATTGACGGAAGGGTTGGTACACAACAATGACCCTTTTAAGAATAATTTTTCTGCAGGCACATCTCCTAATTACATTTATTTTCCTCATTGTATGACATTAAATATTTTTATCTCAAAGCATTCGATTAGGTTTCCGTTTATTATTACGGTTTATCATATTTTCTCAGTCTCTCTCACACACACTCTCTCTCTCTCTCATTCTATTCTCTCTCTTTTTCTCTTTCTCTCTCTCTCTCTTTCTCTCTCCCCCTCTAGCCTATCTCTTTTTTCTCTTTTTTTTTCTTTCTCTCTCTCCCTCTCTCTCTCTCTCTCTCTCTATATCCTCTCTCTCTCTCTCTCTCTCTGTCCTCTCTCTCTCTCTCTCTCTATATATATATATATCCTCTCTCTCTCTCTCTCTCTCTCTCTCTCTCTCCTCTCCCTCTCTCTCGGTCTATATCCCCTCTCTCTCTCTCTCTCTCTCTCTCTTTGGGTGTGTGTATGAGTCTGGATGTATGTGTGTTCTAACGAAGTTTGTTGTGCGATTACATGCATTCAGTTATAAAGTTCATTAGGACGCAACACCAAACCACGATTTACAATTCAAGTTTTAATCAAATTTATTGCACTTTCCAAAAAAGCCTTTGTGTCAATCTAAGAAATCTAAACGGCAAGGTTTATTTAGCAAATGACTAAAACATGTAATCAACAACGTTACAGCACGGATATGCTTCTACATATACATGTATACGTCCCAAATAAGCCTTTACGTACTTCAGGGTGTCAGATTATGGTTAAAGGTAAAGACCAGTTATGGTCATGCGATTGCATTGTGAAAGAAACGTTGTGGAATCGATCAGAAAAGTTTGATCATCTAGCATCTAGCATCTGCAAGGTTCTGGAATCATCAAAATGATAAGAAATTTGGCCCATTCTTCGTAAAGTTACAAGCACTATACACAGAAAGATGTATATGGGACTACCCTATATCTCTCATAGACCATGAGAGAAACAAATTTACCAAATATATGAATTAGTAGGCGGTTTCCCTGCAATTTTTTTATCATCATGTATTAGTCAAAACATATTCTTTCACATGATTGGTAATGAGAGCTTCCATTTCATTTTTTGAAATTTTGGCGTTTCCAATACTGGTCTTTACCTTTAACCAAATAAATGTGCTTCATCTTCTAATGGTGGATCATGACTCCAAGTCCAAAAGGAAAGAACAAATCTCTTAAAACTCTCATATGCGAATACCTGCCTGTTCAAGAACACGACTGCGATGATTCATTCTTACCGAAAAATGTATGTTATCCAATGGTGTTAAGGCTGAATTGGTTAGGTTTATATCAATCACACAACCCAAAAAGATTGGTCTTGACCAAATTAAAGGTAATACAAAGTTTTATGGTGTCATGAATTTGGTTCAAGTGAACAAATTTAAAGCATATGCGATCATACAATTATAGTCTAACGTTATGAAAATGTAAATAATAATTTGTTTATGTTGTATAGCTCCCTCACAAGGTCAAGATATTAATCAAGATATAAAACAATATTTCTTGACTAAAATCGACCGATTAACTATTCCCGTTTGGAAATTATATATCACAACTACATATTCTGAGATTTTCATAGTCGCAGCTACCATTGTACGGCCGTAGGTGCTATTTGAAATTTATCAAAATTTACCGGGAGCACCGGTTAATTTTCATATTTTAATTTTTCTCAAAAGCAGAAGTGTTTTAGGGGCTAAATTTTCTAGTGCTTATAAAAAATTCCACAGGGGCATCCAAATATATCAAAAATGTCAAGAATCACTATCCACCCAATTTTCAAAATTCCCAAAACTTTGTATTGCCTTTAACTACTATGAAAACGATTCATGCACATATACAGAAAGTGTACTTTATGATGGATATCATTTGTTTTTTATTGGGAACAAGCTTTTATCTCAAATCGAATTTGCCAACGAATCGCAGTAGCAACAGTAGACACACACGCTAGTCCGAACAATATGTCCTACTCTCCCCGAGCAGACACCTTAATATTTCAGATTAAGTCAGATGCGTAGTAAAATTCCAGTTGTGTACCTCAAATCTAATACACCAGTTTACAGTTGTATCAGTGCGCATGCGCAGACAGTTGACCTCGGGTCATTGGCCCTGAATTCAGGGCCAATGACCTTTGACCAGTGGTATTGATGCGTAAATTAAGATTGCGCCCATGCAAATGATGATTTGCGCGCACAACGCAGCGCGTAGGCAGTGATATCATCATAATTTGCATGGGCGCAATCTTAATTTACGCATAAATACATGACCTCTAGGTCATTGGCTTTGTTTAAAAAGGCGCACACATCCGTAAACTGGTACATGGTGTATTTACTCGGACAGGTTTTAACCCCTCGACTTCTGAATTGCCTGATCCCTACAGGGATGACCCGGTTCCAGTAGGCAATGGGTTAATTAATATTTTTTTACGGGGAAAATAAATAGTTATAGAGCTGCAATAATGATTTTGTATTATTTGTATCCAATAATATCGACTTTATAAATATACATCATAAATGCGATGTTTTAAGTTATTTCCCACATTTGATGTGTCTCTATGGGGTTACATATCCGTAGTTCTACTAGAGATCCAGCCGTTGAACCACTCATGTGCATACATCGGTTGATTTTGGTGTTCCTAACCTGTCCATTTTGCTATAAGGGAAACAATTGAAGAAACAAAATTATGGTTGAAGTATTTCTCAAAATATAGTCCATGAACATGTAAATTTGGTTTATTAATCCCGATGAAAACGTTAAATGATATATGATATGGTGATGATATTATATGTGACGAATGATATTATTTCTTTTATCGGTAAACTAAATCAATAAATCCTCTGTACTATAGGAATGCAGATAATCTAGCCATAACACTAACTCTAAAATATGTTGTCTGAGGACCTGCTTTTTCTTTTTGTTGCCTTAACACATTTTGGATGTTCGCCAACTGTCGGGAGTTTTCCGACAGTAGTAATAATCTTAAAGCGCTATGTTTGGCGATTATAGAAGGTCAACATTAGTCATGATAAGGTAATAATGATGGTTTAGTTCATTGGGGTGTTCGCTTAACATCGAATTGCTTACGCATGACAGTTCATGATTTCGCCAAAAATTTAGTCTTTTTCGGAATTTTGTTCCGAAATTATCTTTGAATGGCGAAATAGGGTTCAGGAGTCGTCATGGGCATTGTCGCATAAAATATACTCACATTCTGTATAATCAGAATAATAGGTGGTGATTCTAAAATCACGCAGCAGTCATGTGTTATCCTTGTGGTACAGAGCAAACACCCCTGAGGAGTGTTTCACAAAGACTAAGCTCGACTTTAAGTAGGATTTAACTATGGCAGGCCATTCATGCCACTGGTTGCTCTCATCATTGGTCTCTCAAGGGACGTCACAAATCTACAGAGTTAACATTTTTGATAGTTCATTGTTCAGGATTTTTGTTTTGGATTTGTGACCACGATTTGAACGTTCTTTGGGAGACCAATACCAGGAATGGTTAGAGGAACTAGTGGCATAAACAGCCTACCATAGTTAAGTCCAACTTAAAGTCCATCTAAGTCTTTGTGAAACACTCCCTTGTGGACTACTTGTTTAATGATTACTTACCTTTACAACCCATTTTTGTCTGTCTGGTGGATCCCCCGTCGGGCTGCATGGGTTGAGGATGACATGTGTGCCGACAGAGTTGGCTTCTAAACACAGCTCATCGTTTCTAATCTCACCAGCCTTTGTCTCCTCGAAGTACTGGACGAAAAGGAAGATGTGCAACGAACCAGAATTATATATAAGCGGTGATCCCTATTAATGACAGAATCTTCTGAAATATGGCAATGATGACTAGCATTAACCATGAAATGAAGATTACAAATCAAATTAAAGCACTTCTTTGTTCACAATAACCATCCTTGCTGATACCACAATCACATCGCTACATAATGTGTGTATGCCGTTTTTTTCCTTTGATTTTGGCAAAGGTTTTCCATTGCTGCCAACCTTTGCCAACCTTTTGTTAGCCGGTGTCAATCGTGTCATTATAAATGATTCTTGATTCAACGTTTATAACGTGTTCTTGAATTTCAGCTGCAAGGCACCATGTCTTCATTGAGTTCTGAGTTAATTGCATATACACAGAGATTATGTAATACTGAGTTCGTAAAAAGTGTGGATTTGATTAAAGCTTTAATTTGTAAAGAAACATATCTAAAAGAAATGTCATAACCTTTTTAATCTAAATAAATTAACATGATTAAACTTTAGAATGTTTAAACCCCAGCCTGGTACGAATGAGTTGTGACATTTGTATACATGTTGGTGTGGTTGTTGTATAACTAGACTACGATGTCGATGGCCAGGAGGGTGGATGTGAAACACAGCATGAAGTGAGATGAGTGAGAATAGGATTCGCATGAATTATATACAATAGTACGAGAAGAATAATACAAGTTTAACGATTATTTATACATAAAAACACATGAAAAGAAGACAATAACGATACCTCATTTCCACCAAGGTTATGGCAATGCCAACCGATAAGATTCTTGCCAGCTTGTCCGTTCTGATCATTGGAATCTATGCACAGCTTCGAACCTTTATTCTGAAACTGGCAAATGCAAAGAGGGACAAGAGAACATAAGCTTTAAAGTGTGATAATGTTTGAATGATAAACTCCTGAACTAAAACTGCAATGCAGCTAAACAATTGTTGCACACTTTGGGATAAGTCAGATAGAAGATAGCCTCATGCATAACAATTCCTTTTGGAAAATAACTCCGTTCTTTTAAAAATTCCTCTTGTTCGATTTCTAAATGTTACTTTCCGGGTATTTTATCAATATTTTTATTCTTGCTGTTTTGTACCCAGTCGACCCGGGATCGCCGTCCCTGCTGCTGCTACTACTACTTCTGCTACTTCTAAGTAGTGTTTTGAATGTCTATTTAGTGAATAAAAAAAATAACCGAAACTTACATTGATAGTTTGGCGAAGAACCGAACTTGATGAAGGAACGTATAGTTCAGGATACACGTTTGTTAAGTACCAGTTGAAGTCGTAACAATTCAAAGACTCTCGAAGTTTCTTCCTCTTAGATACATCTCCAAAGTCACGATTCTTCAGCATGGGAAGTCTATCGTAAAAATGGTGCTTGTGTTCGTCCGTCCATACCTAATGCGAGATATCAAAGATAATATAGTAATCCCATAAAGAACAAGTCGGGCTATGGTAAAGGTGAACAATTACTTGTGAACTTTCTCGATCTTTATGCTTTTTCGATTTTTTTGAAAATGCCAACTGACACAGTAAAGAAATGTTCCATGAAAATAACGGCTCTACAGATGCCCACATTCGAAATAGGACGAGAAAGAGCCACTTGTGTGGAATAAAAAAATGATAATTTTCACTTCTAAAAGTTATAATGATAATAGTAAAAATTAAAGAAATGATACTACTACTACTACTACTACTACTAACATTAATGCTCATGTTATATCCTATTCTATACTAATTTTACCTCTACTTTAAACATTATTCATCTAGACCGCCATTATCTACATTTGCCACACTCGACCCAGGTGAGGTAAATGGGTACCTGGTAGGATTATTCCTTGAAACGCACTGCGCGCTGATTACGGCTGCCGGAGCTAAAGCTAGGGTAATAATTTCCAAAGCTCCTTGGAAGCGCAAAGGGACATTATTATTACGATGTGATATGCGCTATACAAGAACCGAATACTATTAATATGGCTTTATGTTCTATCAAATCACTGGGATTTTTTACCAGTACTGCTGCTGCTGATACTTCTACTACTACTACTACTATACTACTTATTCTGTTACTGCTTATTCCACACTAATTCTACTTCTAACTCAGACGTTAACGATCATTGATGCTATATATACCTGCCACTGAGATGGAAAATCCGCCAAATGTATACACATTCATGGTGCACCATCTATAGTTTAACTTTTTAGATATTGCTATGGGTGAGAAAAACAAGACTTGACTCACCTCAACCACCCTCATAGCGTTATGTTCTACTATATCTAATGGATTCTGGCCCAGGAAGGAATACGGTGACGTATCTCGGTACACGTGACCAACGCGTGAACATGGTATTATCTCGATCGAGCCACCGCACATCCAGATCTGAAAGAATGCAATGAAAATGTCTCTTCGTTAGAGGGAAGATTGACCTCTTTTAAATTGAAAAATATTTAATAACTTTCCTTTTCTGTTTTCTTAAGTCATTTAAACAGAATATTACAGGAAAATTTCATCTTAAGTCAGTAAGCTCTTTAAGAACTCAATTATTACAAATAAGACGGAAAATAGTTAAAAAGTTTGGGCCAAACATTGTAATGCAGTCCAATATACTGATGTCCGTGTGCAGTGCTTGTGACTCTCAGAAAGAAAGAGTCAAGTTATTTTAAAAACCTCACATTATACCAAAATTGATATGGTCACAGAAGGTTAGGTGACCTGCATGAAGACGAGCAATCAACCTATTCGGAACATCGAGCTTCGATCTCTCTTAGCCTGGTTCAACAGTCCTTCTCAGGACTCCTCTCATGAAAGAATGCATCTCTTGACCCCCCCCCCCCCAATATCCATATCATGCAGTATCCAGTACTCTCCCATAGGACGAAAGCGAAATAATACTCCTCTCTCACTATTTATCCTACCCACTTTCATTTCAAGTTCAGGCTTTCATTCTTTGTACAAATCGTCCTACCTTGAGAGACGTTTCTAGGTTCTCTCCTCCCCATACCTCCATACCTAGGTCAAACCCTCCAAGCTCCAAGAAGAATGAACGATCCATTGTGAGAAGTCCTCCCGGCATAGCAGGTGATCTAATATTACAAAGGGAGATAGAGAAATATATATAGAGAGAGAGAGAGAGAGAGAGGGGGGGGAGGGAGAGAGAGAGAGAGAGAGAGAGAGAGAGGAGGGAGAGAGAGAGAGAGACAGACAGAAGGGAGAGGGGAGAAAGAGACAGAGGAAATGAGATAGAGAAGGGATGGGAAGGGGGAGGAGGTAAGGGGAAAAGATAGATAGAAATATAGTACGAGAGAGAGAGAGAGAGAGTTTGTGTACATGTGTGTGTATGTGTGTGTGCGTGTGTGTGTGTGGGGGGTTGGAGATATAAATTGAAATATAATATATAAAACACCATAATTTGAAGGCGTCAATCATATTTTTATCTCACGAAATTGGAGCCAATAATAATCAAGTTGAAATAAACGCTCATGCTCCTTTGGTAAGACATTAAAGATATAGGTGAGTTCTGGTTTTAAAAAAAATAAACCTCATAGAATCAAACGAAAATTACATTAAATGTTCAAGATTACAAATAAATGTCATTGCCAAACAATTTTGGTAGAAAATGTATACTGGCTGAGTAATGAGCATAGACAGATTGGGAAATCAAGGTTAGTAGCCCGACACCATTTGTGTATAGTCAGGTGGCTTAGTAAAATTATCGTTACATGCCGGATAAAAGCACCATTTTTGGTACAGGGCTCCCTTAGGACCTACTAAACGATATTAGACTAGTAGCCCCCGGCAAAAATTTAAATTTAAGGGTGTGGGGGCGGGGGCGTCTTTTGGAGCCCCCAAATAATGTTATAACATCGGGTTGTTGTGTACAAATGCCATTTTTGGGTACAGGGCTTCCTTAGGACCTAGTGAATGATGGTAGGGTAGGAGCCCCCGGCATACATATTCATATATGGGTGATTGGGGGCCCATGGCGTCTGTACAACAACAATTCAATGTTATAATACCTTACAAATTATTTGTGGATTACGAGGCAACGCCCCTGTCACACACCCTTATATGATATTCTTCCCGGGGCTCCTACCGTAATATCGTTTAGTAGGTCCCAAGGAAACCCTGTGCCAAAAATGGCATTTGTACGACAACTAATAAATGTTATATTACCTTCTAAATTATTTGGGGTGCTACGAAGCGATGCCCCAGCCCCACACCCTTATATGATATTTTTGCTGGGGGCTTCCACCCTAATATCGTTTAGTAGGTCCTACGGAAGCCCTGTACCAAAAATGGCATTTGTACAACAACAAATCAATGTTATAAAATTGTTTGGGGCTCCAAAAAGACGCCCCCGCCCCAACACCCTCAAATTAATTTTGTTTGCCGGGGGCCCCTAGCATAATATCGTTAAGTAAATTCTAAGGAATCCCTGTACCAAAAATGGTGCTTTTATCCGACAAGTAACGATAATCAGTCAATTTGACGCTAAGCCACCTGACTAGTAGTCCCATATACATATTTATCTTTAATATTCATTTGCCCGTCTTTAAAGCATTATTTGATATACAAAGTCATAAGTTGGTTCAAACTGTTTTTGTATTTGAATTTTTTTTGGAATAAAATAACCCTCTCTTACTTAATTGGAGCAACTTTGGATGGCCTTTTATCGTAGTTTGGTATTGGCTTCCATCTGTATTCGAATCGCCAGTTGAATCCTCCTCGCTGTAAGGGCTCGGGTACGACATTGTAGTTGAACGTATCTTTGTTGATCTCATCGACCACGGGCATGATCACGATGGTTCTATCTGAGGCCAGACGAGCGAGGAGGGGCTCCAACCAGCCTATCATAACCTGAAAATAAAAGGAGTGAATGACTGTCTGACTTGAAGCAAATTACTACTACTACTACTACTACTACTAATAATGGGATTTATATAGCGCCTTTTCCAAAGGATACAAGGCGCCGTCTCATTAGACTATCTACAATTTAATAGGAGTTGTACAGGTAAGTTTTTTTTTTTGACGAAATCTAGTGGAGTAATGTTTCTTAAAAAACGAGGGGAGTTTGTTCCAGAGACGTGGGGCTAAGGACTGAAAGGATTTGAAACCAGCCTGTTCACGGGATTTCGGAATGACAAAGGTAGGAGCTGATGAAGACCTAAGAGAATAGGATGTTCTCTTGGTTGCTGAAAGAGTGAGGAAAGGTATACAGGAAGGGTGGTCGACATAGATTTGAAAGTTTGAACAAGTATCCGGTATTGTATTCTATCAGCAACTGGCAGCAAGTGTAGTTCATGCAACATTGCAGAGGTTACATGACGACACTGGTTACGTGTATGCCTGTGACGTAGGGGAAATTCTTACTTCATGACATAGCCCTGCACATTGAACAAGATAAACCCAAAATTGTGTCATTTACGGCATTACAAGAAATAAAACAATGGTCATAGGTCATATCAATATCAATTTCTTTGATTTGTGGAAGTATATGACAGATTTAATAGTGTAGTGGTCGAGTGGATATGTCACCAGACTGTGGATCATAAGGACTGTGGTTCGTGTCCCGCTGCGGCACTAATGTCCTTTGGCAAGACTTTAATCTACATTAGCTACACTCGACACAGGTGAGGAAAAATGGTGCCTGGTAGGACTATTCCTTGAAATTCACTGTGCGCTGATAATGGCTTTCGTAGCTAAAGCCAGGGTAATAATTTTCAAAGCTCTTTGGAAGCGCACAATGACGTCATATAATTTGATTTGCGCCATACAAGAACCGAATACAACCAAACCTGTCTATAGCGACCGCCCAAGGGAAACACAAAAAAGCGGCCTTGTAGAGAGGTGGTCTTTGTAGACAGGTTCCTTTAGTACATGTTTCAATGAGAAACCATTTTCAAGGGAAACAAAAATTAATGTGCTTGTTGTAGACAGTTGGTCTTTGTAGACAGGTGGTCACTAAAGCAGGTTCGACTATGTCATTATTACAATTATAATGATATGTAGTATTGGACAAGAAGTCGCAAAGTACTATGAATTAGGGATATTTGTAATGATTGCTTTATTTTCATTTCTATCGATTAGTGGTGTATCTGTAATTCGTGTGGAGAATCTAGTTCACAGATAACCATATTACAAGTTATGATACTTTAAAATCTGGATTTAAATTTTGTATATTTAGAAAAAAAGCAAACTCAATCAAAATTATATATTGTAATGAATTTTCAGAACAACTCGTACACCAAAGAGAATTTTCGACTTTGGTTTAATTTTGTTATGTCTTGTTTTATTGAAAGTAGATCAAATGTTACCTCGACATGAGAATCTAGGAATGTGAACGTTTCGCCCTCTGACGCATCGACCCCCATCATGCGAGCTTTAATTAGGCCGAGTCTTTTCTCAGCTCTCACCATGCGTATCCTAACCGAGTGGATTTGGGAAATGTAGTCCTCAATGGGCTCTTGGAGATGCTCTAAAACAAATCATATAAAATAGCGTTATATTACTACTGTCAAAGCACTGACAACAGAGAGCGCACATTTACCATAGCTTACTAAAAGAGATAGTTGTAACACGCGCATACTCAAACACAAAGTTTCATTACGGAGTTCCCAATAGTCATGAAATGACTTACCAGTCATGTAAAACTTCCATTGCATAACTATTTCTCTCGACTAGCTATGACCTCGTTAGGTAACAGTACATATATTTTCATAATAAAAAAAAGTTTTTTCAAAGTGAAAGATCACCACTATTGGTAGATTATTTTAATTATTGTATAAATAAAATGCTGATGATACAACCTAGCGATGTGAGATCTCTTAAAATTATCTAGTATCAAACATTTCAAAGAAGATTTTACGGTCAATGAAATGATATTTTCCTCTTCTACTTCCCCGACCACTCCCCTTCTTCTACCGACTAATACCCATTACAGGCAAGTATTAAGATTGGAGTTTGGCAGGCATCATGTCTTCTACATCTCACAAGTGCGACTCGTCTTTGCATTTCATTCTCAGCCTTTCCTAGCAGATAATACATCGATCTATACATCTATCTAACGCCTACTGTGAATAAAATTAATTATGATAAACGATGTGAGTTGATCCACGAAAATGCACAGTTCGTGCAATGATTATCCGCAATGATTACCCCGTTTGAACAATAACAACAACAGATACATAAAAAGAACAAAAAGGAGGGGGAAAGGGAATAATTGAAATTGTTTGGAGATGGCATTGATGGATGAAATTCAGCCACGGTGTCGTATCTTTTCGCTCTTTCGATTCATCGGGAAAGGCGTGATGCGAATCAAATTGGATATCAACTTGTTATACCTCGTACTAGGGAAACAGCTCAGTTAGATTATTCATGTATACAATTACGGTATAGGCCTAGATTAGAGGATGCACTGGTCCTGTGTATTTTGTACAGCCCATTATTTTATCATAGGCCTACGCTTCACCATACTCATGATGATTAAGAAAATAATAGTGATAAAGAAAATGATTTTAAAAAATCCATATGGGATGCTAAGGAAATTAAAGAACATCATTACATTTTCTTACTGCGCTCTAAACGGAAGATTTGAAGTCGCTGGAATGATTGTCTATTTTTTTTTATTTATAGAGAATTGATTTATTCAAATACCATCTGAGACTGGTTACCTACATGTTTCTCCAAAAGTTTGTCTGTTTAATCAGAAACCACGCTTACAGACATTCGGTGCAATAATTACATTTTAATCTTTTTCGTAATTCTTTCTTTGATATTCAAAGGTAATGCATGTTTATCACAACTACCCTCGAAGTGAACCAGGCATATCAATAAACGCCCTAAAAAGTGAGCTTTTTGTCTTTAAGAAATTACCATAGAAATCTCAGTTGGGATTTCATCATGGTAATGTGACCTTTACCTGGCACGATATCAATTTTGCTGGATTGATAGATATTACTATCCAGGAATATTAATAACTTATTAATTCATAAGGCGTGTATATCAGTTTATAAAGAAGAAATCGATAGGAATATGAAAAAAAAATATTTTCGAAAGCAATGTCGACTGGCAGCAAAGGATCATGTGATATTGGACGTGGATTAGATGATAAGGAAGAAGAGTAGATATCAATCGCAACGTTGTATATACGAGATAGGAAGCTGCAAACTTGCGATTGATTTTGAATAATCGCAAGTCTTTGTAAGGCGGGGGGCCAGGTCGCATAGATAATTGGGCCTAAACAAATATTTTGTTGGAAATTCTAATTATTACTCTCCAGCCAGTTCTGGCTTATTATTTTCTCTATCAAAACATGCGATTTTCAAAAGTAGATTGGATAACATATGATCCAATCAAAATGGACCAGTTTGTAGATAATTATCACTAGATAATTTTAAATCAAAACTGATAACTCACTTGTTCATATAGTATGTATAGCACAGCATTTACAAGCTCTTGCAGCGCAATAGAATATATCCACATAGTTATTGCGCTTTACAAATGAATATTATTATTATTTATATTATTATTATAGATACAATCTGCGCATGAGCAGATAAAGGTCCCTTGTACAAAATTGTAAAGCCCACCGAGACTAATACTGGATACATGCTGACGAAAGTTATGTAATCATAGTTCATGCATGCACCTGTGATACATTCTATTGAACACAGGTGCAAGTAATCCATACAAGAGGGCAAACAAATAATCCCATTCATGACCAGGCGCGTACGCAGGATTTTTTCAAGTCAGGGGGGGGGGGGGGGGGGGGGGGGGGGGGGGGGGGGGGGGGGGGGGTGGGGGGGGGGGGGGGGGGGGGGAAGACACTTTTTTTTTTTGGGGGGGGGGTCTCGAAATTTGAAAAATTGACATTTTGCTCCGTTGGGAGGGGGGGTAAGGTCAGCTTTTTTAGGTCAACCATGGGATTTTTTAATTTTTTTTTTCATAAAAAAAAAAAAAAAAAAAAAAAAAAAAAATCCAAAAGGGGGGGGGGGGGGTTTAGAGAAATTTAGGGGGGGGGGGTTTACACACAAAAAATTACCAAAGGGGGGGGTTTAACCCCCCAAACACCCCCCCTGTGTACGCGCCTGTTCATGACTTTAGATGTGCTTATCCCAAATGTCAAAAAGTGGGATTTATCTATGTTTAACAGATCTGTGGATATTTGGGGTCATCTGAACCATGTACTAACTACGAACTGGTTTATCAAAGCCGTTTCGTACGAACCCATTGTGCTTGCGTCGTCAAGAAGAATGATTTCCTTGATCAACCGTAGAGGGCTCCTGTCAATGATGCTGTTGAGTGTTCTCAGGAGTGTGGACCATGCCTCGTTGTGGAAGCAGATAATGATGGACGTAGAGGGCAGGTCGTGTGGGTAGCTGATATTCTTACACCTTGATGAAGTAACGTAAACACACACAAAAAAAAATATCATGACATCAACACTCTGACAAAGACTGTTTCCTTATGAGAGTCGAAGGGTGCTAATTCACATCCTTTAACCCGTTGACTACTAAATTCTCTAATTCCAGTCAGGGTTATTACAGAGACTACTCGGTTCCCATAGACAATAGGTCAGTATATAGATAACGTACTTGATACTCTATAAGTGTAACAGGAAGGCGTAAATTATGTTCATATATTATTCATTTTCTTCTTTAGTTCTGCAAAAAGGCCCTGCTTGCTAATTACAATATAAACAGTATATCTTTTCAAAATGAACGAATTTTTGTTCATTTTTCCTCAAAATTTCATCAAACTGATTCCTTGATTTTTATTTTACATCTCCACACACTACCACCCACATATCTGACTTATCGATCTCTGTTCTATATACACACGCTCTCCAGTCTCTTCATTCAATGAGGATAAATTTATCCTCAAAAACTGCGTTAACGAAGATAAATTTATCCTCATTTAGCTGCTAAATGAAGATAAATTTATCCTCATTTAGCTGCTAAATGAAGATAAATTTATCCTCATTCAGCTGTTAAATGAAGATAAATTTATCTTCATTTAACAGCTAAATGAAGATAAATTTATCTTCGTTAACACAGCTAAATGAGGATGAATTTATCTTCGTTAACGCAGTTTTTGAGGATAAATTTATCCTCATTGAATGAAGAGACTGGAGAGCGTGTGTAGAACAGAGATCGATAAGTCAGATATGTGGGTGGTAGTGTGTGGAGATGTGAAAAAAAAATCAAGGAATCAGTTTGATGAAATTTTGAGGAAAAATGAACAAAAATTCGTTCATTTTGAAAAGATATACTGTTCATATTGGATAAACTGATGTCAGAAACTATTAAAAAAAACAAATAAATAAACCACTTAATATTGTTTTCACCAGCTCTTTACAATCTGACAATAATTAATTTTCTGCGAGCGAGGAAGAATACCGTTCTATAGGACTTGTGTATAATTTTTTTTTGTGTGTGTGCAATATTGCACCAATGACACATTAAACGTTAAGAAGATATTGAACCAAAAGTAATATTGTCGTTTACTAATGAAAGGTCGGAATTATTTCGACCTGGACTGCAGAGTACGACTGTTACCTCTATTGAATAAGTAATATATTCTTACTCCTCATAACGGCCGTCAATCAATGTCCGATGAAGGGATATCTTGCTGCTGACCAGTTCGTTAAAGGAATGTTTCTTGTATCGTGTCTCCTCCACTCTCTTCCCTTCGACGGTGAGGGCGAGCTTCACTCCCGAACCTCTGTCACCTAATTTCTTCACATCAGCATTCGGTTTGTTATCAAACGTTGGGGGTGGAGTTGTTTTACGATGTTTATCAGCATCACTTGTTTCCTCTTTGGCATGTTCATCACCTGCATGGGTATGATTTCAAAATGATGGTGACGATGATGATTACGATGACGATGATGATTATGATAATAATAATGATTGTTATCATTCTAACTTCAATTCATTACAGTAATGGTAGCAATAAATGAAAAAGTAAATATTACGAGATGCGAACCTGCAGAAAGCAGGTGCGTCGTCTAAAAGAAGACCAGTACAATATTAAGGTACCATGTTTTAAAATTCTCCCGTTTTTAAACACTCTTTCCTTAATGATAGAAAGACAGAAAATTTGTTTACACGGACGTTGTAGGACGGGTCTGATTAAGCTATATGTCTGACATTATAACGAGCGGAACGTGAAGATCATTAAGAATGAATTCATTGCATGAATGCAGTAATCGACGTTAATATATGTTATGTTCTTGGCATTTGACACATGGTTCAAAATGAATGAATGATCGTGTACAGACAAGGCCATCTGTTTTACAAATAATGCCTCCTGGAATTGTATTACCGCAAACACTTTTGAAAAAATAACTGAATAGTAAATTAAAACAGAAAATTGTCATCTTTATATGAATTCATACTTAACCTACATACATTATGATGGTGTATAATGGGTTTATCATTCGAGATCTTCGATCTATTTATTTTTTTAAAAAAAATTGAGGATTGCCTCTGGGAATTGTGTCCACAATTAAAAAAAGGACTGCATGATTTCACACATTCCTTTTTCCATGTCTGAGAGAGAGAAAGAGAGAGAGAGAGAGAGAGAGAGCGAGAGAGAGAGAGAGAGAGAGGAGGGAGAGAGGGGGTGCCCCTGAATCCGATCAACTCACCTACTATTCCATTTCGCATGTTTTCCATCATCTCCTCTGCAGGTATTCTGAACTTCGACGCCTCGTCATTATCAACGGAATCGGAAGGCTTACGACGACCGTCATCGTCATGGAAGTCAGCGACCTTACCGTGCGGACGCAGAATTTTTTTACGATGTCGGATCTTTTCTTCGTTATTCTTAACCTCGAAATTGTTGTCGTCCATCGATGTGAATCTAAAGTTACGATCGTTGACATGAAAAGAGATGATCAATAGTATTGACACGATCTGACATGTAACAGGTTCAACTCGATAAGGCAAATATCTACGGCGTTGCAATACATTCATTGGAATGAATTTATACGGAAAAAGGCGTTAAAAAGAAAGATTTTGCCATGTCCCCTTTTCCCTGAATAATTAACACTGGTTGCCATGAGCTATGTACATGTAGCTATGAAATCAACAATTACATATATGGTACATCTACCAGCCAGCCGGTGAATAAGGAGCTCTATTTTTTTTCCTTCACAATTCGTGAGAAAATATTTAGCGCCGAATCAACACCACCCCCCCCCCCCCTCTTGCACAAGGGGGAGGGACCCGTCTTCTTTTTTTATCTTAACAAAAGGTTTAATATACCTGTTTTTTGGCCAGGGGAGGGGCCCGGGACCCCCGGTCCCCCTGTATCAGCCACTGACTTCTTCTGCCACTACCACTCATACCGTACGTCCACCACCACCACCCCACCACAACTTCTACTACTACTACTACTACTACTACTACTACTACTACTACTACTACTACTACTTAAAGCCTCCTCATGCTCCTCGTCGAATTACTTACACGAGATGGTCGAGTGTTTCTCTCTTGTTTCCGACTGTTGCATGGTGGCTCTCATCGTGGTTTAAGTGGTATACAACAAATAAGATATTGGCAAGAAGACAGGCCCCTGCAGAAGCCACTAGGAAGTAGACGCCGCAGTTTCTCTTTAAATGTTTGCTTCTCATCTTGGTCTTTTTCGCCCAACTCCTCGTCTCCTATTCTGACTTGCTAGTATCTGTTACAGTCAATTTGGCGTGGAAGACCAAACAGTATGGTGGAAATAGCAGTCACTTAGACATTGTCATGTTAATGTCACTTGACGAAAACGTTCACCCGATAAGAAAGACAAATTGTTAGCATCTCTTTCTCGTCCTCGTTTCCCAGTTCTGACTAGCTGTAACTGGTTTAAAGCCAGTTAACATGAAAGTGGGAAAAGTTGATATTGTGGTTGATACTGCTTGGATTGATTTTGCCTTTGTTTGAAGGTACTGATGGATCGTAGGCACGGTAGATGTAGCTAGCCAAAGCTAATTGAATCACATTCAACACCACCTTTAAATATCAATATGGATCATATAGATAGACTAGGTCAGCTCCTTTTGTTGTCCAGCTTCCTGCTGTAGCTAGTATCATGAAGTAAGGCTGAGTAAAGTGTAAAGACTGGTTAAACTAGTTTTATGTTTCAAGTCAGATTAATTTCAGTAAGACGATGTAACAGAGTATAGTCCATTTTCACACAATTTCCTTCGCTTATCCTATCTTCTTGTCAGCCTTCCGTCCTATATCCTGGTTAGCTAGACACTGGTTCAGTCAAACTGACGTGACGATCTAAAACGTTGTAAAGCGGATGTTGCTTGCTGTTAAGGACTCCTCGCCTATCGCTGTGATTTAAAGAAGGAAAGGCAAGAAATTGTAAATAAGTGCTTCAATTTATTTTTGCAAGGGTATGTTTTCGTTGTTTTTGAGACAATATGATCAAATAAACGTGAAATGGCGTCAGTTTTTTTTTCCTTTACGAGAGGGAACAGAAAACACGTTTACAAGCTGATATCAAAATACATATTACCAGTAAGGCTACGCTCCTTTCGGGTGGAACAAGGTGTCTGCGGTAAAATAGGGAAAGAGAAGACATTGAGGGAACAATGATTTGAGAGAGAGAGAGAGAGAGAGAGAGAGAGAGAGAGAGAGAGAGAGAGAGAGAGAGAGGGGAGAGAGAGAGAGAGGAAGAGAGAGACAGAGAGAGAGAGACAGAGAGAAGAAGAGAGAGAGAGAGAGAGAGAGGGGGGGAGAGAGGGAGGGGGAGAGAGAGGGAGGGGGAGATGCATTGATGGGAAAAGAGGGAGTACAGTGGAGGGGGGAGAAGAGACGAAAAAGAGCGGGATAAAGAGAAAAAGTGAGAATAATTATAGTCTTGAAGGGAAAGAAAGCTGAGCGAGAGAGGGGTGGGGAGAGGTAAACTGAGAGAGAGAGAGAGAGAGAGAGAGAGAGAGAGAGAGAGAGAGAGAGAGAGAGAGAGAGGGGTGGGGAGGGGGGGGGGTACAGTCCATTATACAAGATCGAAATGGTACGTGTAGCCAGGGAGGTGAGACTTTAACTCACATACCCTGGTGTAGCCGACGTACTACGCCCGAGTGTGAAACTCTCTGGTAAACCTCCATACTCCAGGCAGCTGTGGAGTTTCACAGCTGTTATATTTCCACCATGAGTAAATTAGCAGTACTCCTATTTTACTGCTCGACTAGACTGGTGAATTTTATATAAGATTTAGTCACCAAATAAGTTATGCTACGAAATGAGGTTACAACGTGAATATGACTGGTGGACAAACTTTAAGCCATTAGCACCCACCGCATCATGACTCATGAGTGGCACAATTTGGATTACAAACAAGAATAGGTTTTAAAAATCTTTACATAAAAACAACGTGGGGGTATCTATGTACCCGACCTAGCTCTGAGCAGTGATATTCCTTTCTCAGGTAATATTTTTTCTTCTGAAATCGAAGTATAAAGTGATCTTGAAATTTCCCAAAACTGCCTAATAATTATTTTGTGGGGTAGACTATAATCTTTATCATCGGGAATTTGTTTTCTCCCAGCTAGCAGTCCTTTTCATTGATATCATTCTAAAAATGAAAATAAATCATGCTCATAGATTCTCCCCTAGCTCCCCCTCACTCTTACCATAATTTAACTGTTTGTTTAACTGCTGCATACACTTTGAGTAGCTTTATACCTAATCCTAGTTAAAGTTCATAGTTTCACAATCAAAAAGGTTGTTCTACCTCTTCAACGACCTAATCCTATATGGTATTACTATTCCCACTTATTTATTTATCCTATTCTCTTATATTATTCCACTGTGTAAAGACGATTTATATCCGTGTTTCCATATGAATATGTCATTTGCTACTTTTTATTATGTATTTGTGTATATTATTCTATATTTTATATTGTTCGTGTGCTTTATGTATTAAATGCCAACAACTGAATTTCCAAATGGACCAATAAAATTTATCTGAATCTGAATCTGAAACTGCACTTTAGTGTGCGTCAAATAAAAGTCTCGATCTCAGTCTTTTCGAACCACTAGAATCACATCACAATCACTAATGACTTTAACTTCATTCTTATACGTCACCATCCTAAATGTCACCACCCCTGTTCGCAATTCCGATGATTTTTATAGACACGGCCTCATTATAATCTCATCATTATGGGCACATGTTCTAACCACAGCAAACGACAGAACCGAATGAGCCTGGTTTTCTCATGACCATTCTGTTAAAGGTAATACAAAGGTTTGGTAATATTTCAACAGGATTGGATTATGAAATTTAAAATTTGCATTGCCATTGTGAAACCTAGTGTTAAAATAATCAACTTTGAAAAAATTGGGTTTTAAAACGCTAAGGATATCGAGAAATTCAAATATTAAATTTGTCGGTGCTCCCGATAAATTTCAAATAGCGCCTACGGCCATACAATGGTAGCTGCGACCATGAAAATCTCGGAACCTGCAGTTCTGATATATAATTTCCATACGGGAATACAAATCGGTCGATTGTTGTCAAGAAACACTGTTTTGAAGCTAAAGTAATTAAAACCTGTAAAGGGAGCTATACAACATAAAGAGTTTATTATTCACAATTTCATCACTGTAGACTCGATTTCAACCACGACAATGATCATTGAATATTGTATGATCGCATATGCTTCAAATATGTTCATCTGAACCAAGTTCATGACCCCATACCGAAACTTTGTATTACCTTTATTAAGGGTAGATCTCTGCGCTATGCTAGCCTAAACATACCCACTATCCATCCCCAGCATACTTTATTTGAGGTTGATTTCAGGCCATGATCTTGCACTCCCTAAAAGTCTTTTCTTGACCACTTTCGTTATGCTCATTGCATTGCTCGTTGCATAAGGCGACATTTCGATTTTTTATCCAACAGTGACCACACTTTTTCAATTCTGTACGATGAAGAAAATGAGTAATATACGCAAATAATTCAAAGCCATGTTCAGTTTATTTATTGGGCATTTATTTTATGTTGGAAATACCGCTTACATGCAATATGCGCCAAGGAGCACGGTAGTCGCTGACGCACTGCTCCGTCAGACAAATGATGCTTTGTGTGCAATGGACATTGCAATAGCCCCTTTATGTGTTGAGTGGACTGTCACTACCTCAAGCTCTATTCTCTAACGGATACCTCCCCAAGTAGTCATTTCTGAGATAATTACATCTGTGCGTCACCAATTAACACATCGCATAGATTGAGTTTAATTTCTTATTTTGGGGCCCATTTCCAGTGCATTGAATAACTTATAATCCTTGTTTTTAAATCTAGTGTGAAGGCTATGAATCATGGTCTTAGAACAAGTGTGTAGCGCAGATGTTGATGTTTTCCAGGTAAAAAGGTGTGATACCCGTAGATGTGATATTTTTCATGCTGTGATAAACGCGGCATGGGAGCTGCATAGGGGCTCGCTTATACATGTATAAAGAGGTGGAGAAATAGAGTTAGGCATTAGAGAATAACGAGAAAGGGGGAGAGTGAGAAAGAGAAACAAAGGGGGAAGAGAGAATGGGAGAGAGAGAGAGAGAGAGAGAGGCAGAGAAGGGGGAGGGAGAGAGATGGGGTGGGGAAGGGGGCATGGGAAAGTATAGAAGGTAGACGGATTCAATTTACTTAATAATGGAATTCTATTCTCCATTTACACACCACTTTTAAACACAGAGGAAGATATGATTTCAAACAAACTGAGGGTAATTACACTTTTTTTGTTAGATGTAGTTCCCTCCCCCCCCCCCCCCCCAATCACAATACCTATCAACACATCAACCTCAGTATCAATACAAAGATTTCTTCCGCTCAAATTGTTAATGTTCCCTAGAAACATCCGGTATTCTATTACAAATAAAACTAAAAGTTAAGAGTGGAAACAAAAATCGAACAATGTTATTTTTCTAAACCCCATTGTGGGATTCTTCTATATTTCCCCGACTTTTTGTGATATGTTATGACCTAAACTTCGTTGCTATTGTAGCCATTATACCTCCCCCCCCCCCCAAAAAAAAAAAAAAAAAAAAAAAAATGTTCTCTCGCATGAGGAGAATGAACAGAAGAGTGTTAAAGGGTGGCAGAAAGCAACGCTTCGATAATGCCAATATCTGAACTATTTCGTTTTAAAGGTAATTAATGGGAAACACGGATATTAACGGCATGCTCAATAGAATAATGCCACGTTTTAAATGAACCCTTATTCAAGGAGGCCATATATGGGCAGGTCTCACAGGACGCAGAAGGTGTAAGTGTTGCGTGTTGTACAATGTAGATATCATAAATAAGCTTGAGTTCTGGCTGGTAATGATAGAAAATAAAGACTCACCGAATCTAATAAAACTTACACTGAATGTTCAAGATTATACAATTAAATGACAAGTGCCAAACGATTTTGGTAGAAAATATAGGAGCTGAGAAATGAGCATAGAAAGATAAGGAAATCAAGAAAAAAATAAAATAGGCCCGACACCTGTTGCTTTTTAAAAAAAAATTATAGTACAAGCTTAGTTCAAGCTTAGTTTATTTCAACATGTGGTTAAAACAAAATTATGCTTAAGCCCTATGTGCAAATGAGAGTTTTGGTTTTTATTTAAGATGATTCACAGAACGTTTTTGTGAGGTTGCTTTTATTTTACTGCAGGATAATCAATACAGAATGAATTATAGCCATAATATCTCTCGACATTCGATGGCCATGCCAGAGCTCAAG